CCCTCCCCTTCCCCCTCCCCTTCCCCCTCCCCTTCCCCCTCCCCTTCGCCCTCCCGCTCGCCCTCCCGCTCGCCCTCCCGCTCGCCCTCTCGCTCGCCCTCCCCTTCCCCCTCCCCTTCCCCCTCCCCTTCGCCCTCCCCTTCGCCCTCTCGCTCGCCCTCCCCTTCGCCCTCTCGCTCGCCCTCCCCTTCCCCCTCTCGCTCGCTCTCCCCTTCTCGCTCCCTCCCCTTCTCGCTCCCTCCCCTTCTCGCTCCCTCCCCTTCTCGCTCTCTCTCTCCCTCCCCTTCTCCCTCCAGCTCTCTCTCTCCCGCCCCTCTCACTCTCTCTCTTTCTCTCTCTCTCTCTCCCTCCCATCCTCACTCATTCTCTCTCCCTGCCCTTCTCGCTCTCGCTCTCCCTGCCCTTCTCGCTCTCGCTCTCGCACTCCCTGCCCTTCTTGCTCTCACACTCCCTGCCCGGCTTGCTCTCGCTCTCGCTCACTCTCGCTCACTCTCTCTCGCTCTCCCTCCCCTCCTCGCTCTCACTCTCCCTCCCCTCCTCGCTCTCATTCTCTCTCCCTGCTCTTCTCCCTCTCACTCTCGCTGTCTCTCACTTGCTCTCTTGCGCTCTCCCTCCCCTTCTCTCTCTCGCCCTCCCTACCCTCCTCGCTCTCGCTCTCGCTCTCCCTCCTCTCCCGCTCGCGCTCTCCCTCCTGCTCTCGCTCTCCCTTCCCTCCTCGCTCTCGTTCTCTCTCTCCCTCCCCTCCTCGCTCTTGCTTGTGCTCTCTCTCCCGCCCCTCTCGCTGTCTCTCTCCCTCCCATCCTCACTCTCGTTCTCTCTCCCTGCCCTTCTCCCTCTCGCATTCCCTGCCCTTCTCCCTCTCACTCTCTCTCGCTCGCTCTCTCGCGCTCTCCCTCCCCTCCTCCCTCCCCTTCTCTCTCTCACCCTCCCTGCCCTCTTCGCTCTCACTCTCCCTCCCCTCCTTGCTCTCTCTCTCTTCCCCCCCTTGCTCTCTCTCTCCCTCCCCTCCTAACTCTCGTTCGCTCTCCCTGCCCGGCTCTCACTCGCTCTCGCGCACTCTCCCTCCCCTTCTCTCTCTCACCCTCCCTGCCCTCCCCGCTCTCCCTCCCGCTCTCCCTCCCGCTCTCCCTCCCGCTCTCCCTCCCGCTCTCCCTCCCGCTC